GGTGTTTCTACATGACTTATCATCTTTGCTCTTCCTATATTACCATGTCATTGACATCATGGGGTCCAACGTTACCGTGTTGTTTCTACGTGAGTTATCATATTTGCTCTGCGTGGATTACCATGGTATTTACACAGACGATACCAGGGGAATATTTCCAATAATTTTAATCACGGGTCAAAAGTTATCATGGTGTTTCTACGTGAGTTATCACCTTTGCTCTGTGTATATTACCACACTATTATCATATTTGCTCTGCGTGGATTACCATGGTATTTGGACATAGGTTACTGGGTATGTTTTTCAACAACTTTTATTCCGGGTCAAAAATTATCGCGGTATTTGTAGGTGAGTTATCATCTCTGATGTGCGTATATTGTCATGCTATTTACATAGTGACTACCGGCGAGGTATGTTTTTTCAAACAACTTTTATCCCCGGGGTCGATAGTTACAATGGTAAATATGACCGGTCACCGAGCAACCAGTAAAAAAGTGAAATACAAAAAAATATGATCGGTGACCGAGCCAATCAAACTTTCAATTTGCTAGTTCGATGTCCTGACTGCTACTAGGCTCAACCGTGATTCATGTGGATAGAAATAGGATCTAACTTAGCATTCGTGCATAACTGATTCGGTAGCCTAGTTGGTAGGTAATCATCAAAAAATCAGACACGTGGTGCGATAGAGGCGAACAGAAATCAAGAAAGAAAAGCAGAAGTGTGAGAGCGTTAGATCCGGATCATGCGGCTCATGAGTCATTCGAAGGTATCCCTAAAATGAAGGCCTTCGCCCGTTATCTGTTTCAGTTTTGTAGTGTGCAAAATTAATTCTTTACTTTATGCCAAATCGATGCTTTATTTTGTGGTCTGTGCCAAATTAAGTTTGTAGTTTTAAAAGTAGATAAATTTTCTTCATTGTAGATATAAACATAGCCTAGACTAGTTGGTCAATATGCTTGCCTAAACCGAGCGTGACCAGAGGTCAAGAGCTCGACCGCTGGTACACGCACACGTACTTTTAAAGGAAACAAACGACACGACAAATGCACTTGCAAACAAGCACCACCCTGTCCCATGCGGCCCCTTTAGGGGTGGCTCAGACGGAACCCTAGATCGAACCGCCACCGGCCCTCTCTCATCTCTGGCTCCCCCTCGCCGTTGCCGGACTAAGTCCATGCAGTGGCAGGGCATCTCCTTGTCATGTGGAAGGATCTTACGGTTGGAGGGGATTTCGATGAGGACGGTTTTTAACGGGCGGTCACTAGTAGAAAATGGGGGCATCAGTCCCGGTTCGTAAGGGTCTTTAGTCCCGGTTCTTGAACCGGGACTAAAGGGTCGTTACTAATGCCTCCCCCTTTAGTCCCGGTTCAAACTGAAACCGGGACTAAAGGTCGCGGCCACGTGGAACTCCACCTTTAGTTCCGGTTGGTAACACCAACCGGGACTAAAGGAAATTTATGATTTTTTTCATTATTTTTTGAATTTTTTTTATTTTCAAATTTCTGAATTATTTTAACATCTAATCTCTAATCACCATCCCTAATCACTGCTCAATTTATCCTCTAATCTCTAATCACCCCTCATCATTCCTAATCATCTAACTTCCCGAACGGTCACCCATCCTCCCACTCCCCCAGCCTGAGCATGCTTAACTTCCGAGTTCTATTCTCCCTCGTTTCCAAGACTGCACTTGTTGTTTTCCTGACAATAGTAAGATGTCAATCCTATTAACCCTCAGGAATTTTGCGTGAGCATGAAGTGACACATTTCACTGTTTGAGTTTGAAATTATTGTTTTAAAAAACAATAATTATTTAGTAACACTAATATTTCTTGAATAATTAGTTTGACCATTGTTTGACCATTGTTTGACCACAGTTTCACCAGATTTAACCAAAATTCAAAATAACTGAAATAATTATTTAGTAACACTAATATTCTAGAATAATTAGTTTGACCATTGTTTGACCACAGTTTGAATTTTTTTCGATTTTTTCTACTCTAGATCTTAAAAGCCCCGTAACTTTTTTTCTGTTAGGTTTTTGAGGATTTTGAAAATGTTTAACTTTTCGAGTAGATGATTTTTCATATAGAAAACTTTTTCATCCGAGTCAGTATGCAAAAGTTATGCCCATTTTACTAAATTCTAGAGAGATTTTGCAAATAATGTCGAAATTCACATTTGCAAATTTTTCCAACAACTAGACCACATATCACATGAGAAACTTATTTTTTTATTTTTTTGACATTTTCATCATTTTCTTTTATTTATTTTTTAAACTGAAAAGGCGATCAACTGGGGGGGGGGGGTGAAGTTTGAAAATGTGACATTTAGTACCGGTTCGTGCCATGAACCGGTACTAATGCCTCAAACCCCATTAGTACCGGTTGGTGGCTCGAACCAGGACCAAAGGTCTAACCTTTAGTCCCGGTTGGTGCCACGAACCGGTACTAAAGGGCATCACCCTTTAGTCCCGGTTCGTTGCACCAACCGGGACTAAAAGGTCCAGACGAACCGGTACAAGTGGCCCACGTGGCCTCTGGGCGCATGAACCGGGACTAATGCCCCATTAGTCCCGGTTCTAGACTGAACCGGGACTAATGGGCTAACCCGGGGTGGACCAAAGCCCTCTTTTCTACTAATGGGTGCTCTCAGAATGTTGCACTGGACTAGGTCGGTGCGAGGCTTTCAACTACCTTTGTGATGCTTGTTAGCAAAATCGAAGCTGGCTTGCCTTCAGTGCTTCGGTCGACTGTTTGGCGTTTGTGGCCAAGTCTTCCACGTGTCCCGTGGGGTTTGTAATCTAGGTGTCTTTTTACACCCCCGGCCTCTACATCTGGGTGATGCATACACCCACTTAATTAATTATTCACAAAGACCTTACAAAATAATACATCAGTAAGCTTGAAACCATCATCTTGGCAACACTTGTCGCTACTCATATGCCCTTTATGAAGTGGTGCCGAATATCCAAGCTGAATACTGCACGTATCCATCAGCCCACACCCGTCGCCGAAGCTCCGCAGCGCCATGCCACCAGGATCCGCCGTCGGCCTCACGGTAGATGGAATATCGCACTCCCTAGTCCCCTCCAGCCAGCACGTGCTCCAAAATGAGCCCCCCCAGGAGGGTGAACGACACCGACGGCGTCGTCATCGTCTGGTTCGGGAGACCCAAATCTAGGGTTTCCCCCAATCATCCCTAGCTTGATGACGCAAACTGCAACAACGATGCCTCAACAAGGAAACGACACCGAAGACGCCGCCATCGCCTGCCATGACCGAAGTCGGTGCCCAGTTTTCCTCTAATTAACCAGGCAACTCTCTTCTTCTTAATCAATGAAAATGGCAAATCTTTTGCCTCGTTTCAAAAAATAAAAGAATGACACAGAGGAAACACTAGAGAAAGAGAATGGAACGAGCGCTCGATCCAGATCGAACGGTGACAGAATCGTTCGGTTTTGTCCCTAAATCCAGGTGGCTCGGAATTTATGATTCTCGTATTATAAAAGAGTTTCACCTAATAAACATATTTGTGTTAAATAGCATAATAAAAGATTAAATCGCCGGTCATGTTTGGACCGGCATCGCATGACAACGGCACGGCCGTGTTTTTTTTTGTTATTTTTTTTTTTTGCGAGAGGCCGTGCTTCAGCCTGGCCATGGCACGGCACGACGGGGCGCGACGGACATTTTTCTCGGCATGAGACGGCACGAACAAGAGAGGACCGGGCACGGCCCACATCCATTCTAAACGGAGCGGTCCCTCCACGCCACACACAACATCTTGCCTCCAGACAACGAGCGCGAGATTCTTCCCTTGGATCAGTGAGCTTTTGTCAGCATTTATCTAAGGGCGACGGGAAATCACAGACCTGATGAAGGTGGTTGTCCAGGCACGGAGCTGATGAAGGTGCTAATCGGGCTGGGCACCTCAAGTGACGTCTCAACTTTCCTACTCACTTATTCCAGCTGGGCAATGTAGAGCACATGTGGCCATAATATCATTTTTGTAGAGCACATGTGGCCATAATATCATTTTTGTATAGCCACAGTCCTTTTAGGCCATTTTTTTGCTACCATCCATTAGTTCATTTGGCATTTTTAACCCCCGGGTCAATAGGCCATTAGGACAACTGCCCTTGAAAACGTACTTTCAAAGCGGATGGGCGTGTGGCCCAGTGGTACGGGGAGCATGGGAGCAACCACGCCGGCCCGTACCTAAACCGTTCATGAAAATGGGATTTGGCCCGTACCTAAACACCGTTTGTTTAGTGTCCTTTCATTTCCCGCCCATATGCCTGTATGAAAGCTCGAGTTCGGCACATTTATTTAATGTTGAAGTAATGTCACCTCCTTTATTACTCCGCCGAGCTAGATCGTATCAGGACGAACCACGTTTTTTCTAGCTCGGCCCTATATGTTCCAATCTTCCAAATGAAACTCGTGTTACTTATAACATTATTTTAGTTATTTTTCTAAAAGCATAACATAGTTTGAGTTGTTGAGATCATGTATGTGTCGAGCAGACGTAGGCATGGACAAATACCTGCATCCGCATGAGGAGGTCGCTAGAATGCTGTCGCTCGAAGCGGTGCTCCGCGAACTCCCGCCGTGCCTTCTCCACCTCGGCGCGCTCTTCTGGCGTGCCGAGTTCAGGATCGAACTCCCACACTTGCCGCCCGAGGAGGTTGTTCACCGACCGCAGCCATGGGCTGCTCCCTCCGACACCTTCAGCCTCCACATACACGTACGCCTCCGTAACCAGCAATACGATGCTCAAGGACCCAAGAAGTGGTCTATTAGCTGCGACTTGGAGGCGCATGGTGCAAGTCTTGTCTTTTATAGAGAGCCACTGATTGGGCAGAGGTGATTAAATGTTTCTTGCACAGTTAGTTGGAGTACAAGACACTTACTGCGTGATGGTACTATGTTCAACTTATTTTTGTACTAGTATTTTAAAACTTAAGGCACAACAGCGATCGATTTCATATTAATGTTGTGCATGTTACATCTCCTGTTACATGTACTATCCTATGGACCCGGCACTAGTGCCATACAGGAGTAGTCTTCAATGCCATCGACTTCACATTATTTCTGACATGCACTCACCTAACCAATTGCTGTGAATTACTTTTCTTCTTATTTCGACGAGTTTTTAACAAAAAACTACCACAATTCGTGAAACCGTGCCTACAAACTACTTCTACCACTTTACAATTTGTGCCGAAAACTATCATTTTTTTACCAATCCTTAACTAAAAACTATCATATCTGAAAAGAGCCCGATTTGGCTCTTTTAAACGCGTTTCTGGCCAGTTGGGCCCACACATAATCGGGCTCAGAAAGCAATCGGTTCCCTAGTTTTTTTTTCAATAAAGCAATCCAGTCCTGTAGCCGGTCGTGGCTGTGGCCAAGCCGTGGTTGTGGCCAGCCACGGGCGGAGGCAGCCATGAGCGGTGGCCAACTCCAAGCTACGGCTGGTTGCGTGGGCCTTGCCGCACGCCGGCCGACCTCCCATGCGGCCTCAGGCGAGCTGCTCGGGGTAGAAAAAGGTGGCGGCGGCGAGTGGCCAAACCAGGGGTGGCGAGCAGCCGGAGGTAGCAGCGGGTGGCGGTGGCAAGGACGTGCACCGACATGCACCCTTCCCCTGTTTGCAGCAGTCAGCGGAGGCCGGCTAACTCCTCTCCCGGTGGACAGCTGTCTGGGTCACTCCCTGCCGAGCTGGCCCGCGTCGAGCACCTGCGACACCTCGACCTATCCGGGAACGGCCTCAACGGCACCCTCCCCGCCGCGGTGCTGCTCAACGCCACCGAGCTGTGCATGCTCTCAGTCGCTGGCAACGACCTCTCCGGCATGCTACAGGACGCGTCCTACGCGCGGGCGCTCTAGGAGCTCAACCTCTCCAACAACGCGCTCGCGGGCTGGCTCCCCGCAGCGCTCCTCAGGGCGCCTGGGCTTGGCGTGCTGGGCCTCGCCAACAACTACCTCGCCGGCAAGCTCCCCTCTGTGGGGCACGAAGATGAGGTGTTTGTTAAAATGCCTAAGAGAGATACAGAAGGAGCAAGAGGAGAGACACTGATGTGTGGGCCAACTCTGTCATAATCGAGTTTAAAAGAGCCAAATCGGGCTCTTTTCAGACATGGTATCTTTTAGTCAAGAATTAGTGAGAAAATGATATTTTTGGCACAAATTTGTAAAGTGTTACTCCCTCCGTTTCAAAATACAGTGCGTCCTCAGTTTTCGTGCTTCAACTTTAACCATAATTTAACCAACAAGACCGACTGCGGTGGAAGTAAAAATTATATAATTGAAAACTTTTTTGAATGCAAATTCACTGGTATAGTTTCCACTCCCGCCGCAGTCGGTCTTGTTGGTTAGATTTGTGGTCAAAGTTGAATCTGAACATTATTTTGCAACGGAGGGAGTAGTTTGTAGGCACGGTAGCACGAGTTGTGGTACTCCTATTGTTTTGTTAAATACTCTATTTCGACAGATGTCATGCACATTAACTCCAAACCTATCCAACAACATTATTTCTGAACATGCACTGACCGAACCAGTTGTTGTGCATTGCTTTTATTCTTACTGGACAGATGTCATGCACATTAACTCCAAGCCTATCGAACAACAACTTTTGTACTACGAACGCTAGCAGCAGCTTTAAAAACAAAACAATTGCCTGCGAACCAACCTGTGGTTGGATGGTTAGAGGGATTATGGTATCTCCAGCCCATCAGGGTTCAAGTTCTGGTGTTCGCATTTATTCCTAGATTTATTTCAGAATTTCCGGCGATGCGCATTCAGTGGGAGGAGACCTTCACGTCGACGACGAGGCGCCTACGGTGATTTTGTAAATCTCAAGATGATATGCCGGCTCAGTCTTTCAGAGGTGCTCATAGGGGTATGGTGTGCGTGTGTGCGTTTATAGGGATGAGTGTGTGTGCGTGTATATGAGCGCTTGTGTTTGTACTGATGTTCGTAAGAAAAACAATTGCTTGAAGCGTGCATGCTGGCTGTAGATGCTGCCGCATTGGATCGTGCAGGCGTTGGGCCCAAATATATCGTTTGTATAGCAATGCTCATAGTATACTTTGCCATGTATTTCCGTGTAAGACAAAAAAACACCTTAAGAACACAATATTAAATCCTATCACAGCATATGTATGATATATTTATATCAAGTTTTGCGTTAGCTACTACCTCCAGTTTTAAATTATTGACGCCGGTTAGTGCAAATTTGTACTAAACCGGCGTCAACAATTTAAAACCAAAGGGACTAAGTATTGTTAGAGTCAAATTCTCATTCTCCGGCAATGGTAGTTTGAAACCAGTTCCACTTTTTTGTTAAATGAGCTCTAAATGTTAGTCGAAAGTTTGTAGTTATTTGTACTTTCTATGCAAGTAGAATTCTATTGTTTATGTATAAATTTGTATAATTGGGTTCTGGGAGGACCAAGAAGACTTTGATCGAGGAGGAGAACAAAGCTTCAGGTTCATACCCACCCCGTACATGAATCCTATTAGACATTATGTTATGGGGCTCCTTAGCCCGGCTAGCTAGAGTAGGGAGAGGGCGACAACAATGATGGTGGTGCAGTAGCAACACGCCAACGACAAGGGGGTCACCGGCCTTCTTGGTGTGTGGACGATGGTGGCGCAAGCTAGGGTGTAGAGCAGTGTGAACTTGGGCACGTGGGAGAAAACACTAGTAGAAAACCAGCCATTAGTCCCGGTTCGTAAGGGCCTTTAGTCCCGGTTCATGAACCAGGACTAATGGGTCGTTACTAATACCTCCATTCATTAGTCCCGGTTCAAACCAGAACCGGGACCAATGTGCCTCCACGTGGCCCTGTGCGCCCACCCCAGTCAGGGGGCCTTTTGTCCCGGTTGGTGGCTCCAACCGGGACCAAAAGTCATTTTTTTTTAAAAAGTGGCTGCTCTAGGGGTTATTTTCGTCCTTGGTTTATCAACGCTGCTGCTATGTTCATTGCACCCGCAGATATAAAATGCTCATGCATGCTTGCATCATACATCATATATATATATATATATATATATATATATATATATATATATATATATATATATAATAACAAGTCCTACTAATCATGCATCATCATATACAACTTCTACTCGTTATTAATAATAAGTCATACGATCATCATCCTCATAGTCATCGAACCCAACCCTACATAATTGTTCTTAGCACATGATCATCAGTATCAGGTAGGACCTAAAAACCCTTAAGGTAAAATAGCATAAAACAATATAGACCCTGACTCTCCATTATTAAGAATGGCGATCATCCTGTCTCCAATTTTTGCCCTTCGCTGAATGTTGCTTCCAAGAAGCTCCTTACGACTGTCCATACATTTTTTCCATTCTTTGATTATCATGTCTCCACTTTTTTTAGAAACCCGGTATGGACAGTTGAGATTCGTAGGACGACCTGGGTGTATGTTCAAAACATGAAGGCTACCCCGTGTATACATCAGATGAGGCACACAATCATTTGGGATTATCTGTTGAAAAATATAGTAATAACTTCGTAGTTAACAATGATATGATCTACTAGTTTTAGAAGTGTGCAAAAAGATGCACGAATGTTGTAATAGTAAAAAATCATACCAGGGTATCTCCATGGTAGTTACCGTAGTTCAACACGTGCACTAGTGGCACGTATTGACCATAATGTTGAGGAGTTCGATTGTAGACATTGTAATTCTCAAGATCAGTACAAAATCCGACCAGATGATTTTTCTCCTGATAAGTTAGTTCGGAGCCTTCGGTGTAGTAGGTTCTGTCTACCATCTTCCGCACATTCTTTGAAGAATGAAAATAAGCTGTCAATGGAGAATAAGTTGTCAACTATTTTCAAATAAACAATATAAATTACTTAATAACTATGTTAAGCTCACATGGGGGAAGAATTGGAGGTGTATCCACAAGGACGAAAATCGTAGGTCTCTCTTGCTCGATTGTAGGATCACCAAGATCCATGGTAACAAGCATACCCTCATCAAAACCATACATCTTGCAAAGTGCTTCCCAATTTTTGCAACCAAAATGGGTTACACTCTGAGCATTGTACAGCTTTACTTGAAAATCCACACCATGATGGGTACTTAGGATAATTTTTTTGGTTTCGAACCTTTCATGGTCTTCAAAACCCATCCTCTCCAAGACATAGCGTCTTGCAAAGCATTGGAAAAAATGAAAAATATTGTCATGATTAAAATAGTTGAAGTCATGAGTAATTACGAAAAAAACTATTATCGTCGGTTGCATACCGTATGAACATCGAAGGTCTCCTCGAGCTTAATGCTGAAGCGCCGATCTTCGTCCAGCACAATGAACCTGTCGCAGATACCTCGATCGTCGTGGCACCAGTCGCACTTCCCCGGGCGGTTTTCGTCGTCCGATGAGTACGACATTTCCGGCCTATACGTTCATAATTCAAATATTAAACTAGATCATTATTATTAATCACGGGTTGACTATCGATGATCGATGTACGTAGCTCCTCCTTTCATTCTCGAATGCATTATTAATTATATCAAATTGTCTAGCACACGGGAATGAAGGAGAAATTATCCAATATGAGCATTCAATAAGCAAAACCAAATCATAAAATAAGCAAAACCAAATCATAAAATAAAGTATGGTATTCAAATTAGCATGCATTCAATAATTATAAGCAAAAGTACATCATCTCTTGGTGTCCGTACATCGTCGAATATTATCACTAATACAACTAGAACCGTAGCTCCCGACGGGTATCGACGCGGGCGGTGGACACCCAAAGATAAGGAACCATCACAG